CTCTCTCTCTCTCTCTCTCTCTCTCTCTCTCTCTCTCTCTCTCTCTCTCTCTCTTTCTCTCTCTCTCTCGCGCGCGCGCGCGCGCGCGTGCGCGTGCACGTCTTCTCCCTCATACACGAAGACCACCACCACCTCCTGCTGACCTTCGTCCAAGCCAATCTGGCTATGAACGCTGACTATGGTGCTGCCTGGAAGCAGTGCCTTGTTCTCTCTCAGCGCCCGCTGTCGCACTTTTTCCAGTGAGGCAACTTGTGACGACTAGAAAGCCAACAGGCTGTCACGCATGATTTTTTATGTATTTTGCAATAAATAAGTAAATTAATGCAAAGCCCTTCCTGATGCGTGCGTCCGGCTTCGAGCGAGACCCTTCAATTACTGTCTACGCCAATCCCTGGTCTTAGGAATCTTTGATTATGATTCGGAATAGCAAATGCAATTATTCAATTAACAAATTAAATTAAAATGTATAGCACATCTTGATTGTAAATTTGGGAATTTGAGATCTGTGAGAAAATCAACAGAGAGCATAATCTCAAGCAATGTCAACGCAAACGAATCAGGACTGACTTACTCAAGGCAAAGACAAGATGAATGAGGGAAGGTGAGAACTCGTAATAATATCAGAAAGTGCAGATGAAAAGACATGGCCAACACTCATCAAGAGTCCTCATTCTCGCTCTCAAGTCTCGTCCTCAATCTCTCGTTTGACTGTGCGTCTTTTGTGCCTTGAGCCACGCCTATGTACCTCTTGAGATTGTGGCCTAGCAATATAGAGTCACCTAAAGCCCATGAGTTCCAAATCGGGCCATCGAAGGCCAGAGATTCGAAAGTTGAGCATAGCAGATAACTCCTACCATAAAGTAGGAAGATTTGGCCTGGAGAAGATCCCTCGTCTGAGATGTCGGAACTCGGGTGACTCTGTCACTGCCTCATAGTCAAGCTCTGCATGGGAGACATACCTTTTGGCCAGGTCAACCAGATCACCCTAACAAGAACCATTGGTGAAGTAAAAAGGCCTAGGGTAGTCAGCGTACTACTTAGGACCAAAGCTATGAATCAGCTTAGTACTTTCCTGAAGCACTCTTTCTCGCTCTTCCATGTACCAGGCTGTTGTAACCCAAACTAGGTCAAAATGCTCACGAGTCTCCTTCCTCTTCTTTATAGATCCTCACATCTTGGATTGTTCCCTTTTCAAACTCAGTGAGTACCACGAAGATTGATAGATCTCCTTGTCTGAAACCAACTGCATTGGTACTGGAAAGCATCCTTGGAAGCAATCTTGTTGAAGTTGGTCGAGATTGTTTGTTGAACTGGAAAAGAAGTGATAGCATCCATGTGTTGATATGAATATTGAAACTGATCTAATTGATGTTAAATTCAGATTGGAGATGATTAGAAGAATGTTGATAATAATGTCTTTGACTAAATGTCGTCGATGAAAGTATTGATTGATTGATATTGACCCAATAAACTGACTGGAAATTGGCCAAGAAAAATAGTCAACCCAGATTGATGATCACTGTTGTCGACCTTGAAGTGACCAATAAGAACCGAACTGAGCTCAAGAAAGGAACTCCTTAGCCTTTTTCGAGTTCTGTCAACGACTATCTCCATATGTCGCAGTCAATGATGGTATTGAACACGGAAAACCAATTGAAGGTTGCTAGCGATGATACTACTGATGATATGGATATTAGTTGATGCTTGCCATAAAACTGAGCGTGAATGATCAAATTGTTACTTGTAGAGAGTTTAGGGAGATGTTGCTTCACTCTAGGCCCACTAAGAGTTGACGACTTCTCTAGCTCTTATAACGGTTTCAACTGATGAGACCGTATAGTATACGCTTCATGGATGTAGAATATATACTCAATAAATTCATGATTATTCCTCACTCTCCCAATTGCAAGATCTCTGATTTTTACTCTTGTAAGCTTCAACCTCCTCGCAACACTCTGTTTTGTCCCTGTAGAGAATGCAAGATAATGCGAGAGTACTATTGCTTACCACCTTATTTTTCCCATACTAACCTAACCCTGAGACTCA